ACGGTATTTATTTGTTCATATGATTGTTTATAAACATCAAAAAATACCAAAATAAATATATTTAATTCAATTTAAACTAATTTATTTCAATAAGTAAATTATGGTTACTTGAGTGAATGAATGAATGAATGGATCGATCGAACAAACGAACGAACGAACAAATCAATCAATAATTAATGAATGAACGAGTCAATCAACAACCAATGAATGAATGAACAACTCAATCGACAATCAATGAACGAACGAATCAATCGACAATCAATGAACGAACGAATCAATCGACAATCAATGAACGAACGAATCAATCGACAATCAATGAACGAACGAATCAATCGACAATCAATGAATGAACGAATCAATCGACAATAAATGAACGAACGAGTCAATCGACAATCAATGAACGAACGAATCAATCGACAATCAATGAATGAACGAATCAATCGACAATCAATGAATGAACGAATCAATCGACAATCAATGAATGAACGAATCAATCAACAATCAATCAGTACGTACATACATATTATTTGACCGGCAAAGCATAATAGAAATCTTTTCTACAATAACCCTGATATAGTGTCAGAACTGTTCAAACTCTACTCGCACAGTAATGCTGTATGTATGAAGATCAAAACAATATTCACATAAATTACTTCATTAATTTATTTCAGTAAATTACAGTTACTAAAGTAAATAAATAAAATGTAACTCTATTTGTTTGATGTTTTTGGCTGGTTTAAGCTGGTCTCATTGGTTTAAAGGGGTCATCGGATGCCCATTCGACAAGCAATGAACGAACGAATCAATCGACAATCAATGAATGAACGAACGAATCAATCGACAATCAATGAACGAACGAATCAATCGACAATCAATGAATGAACGAACGAATCAGTCGACAATCAATGAACGAACGAATCAATCGACAATCAATGAATGAACGAATCAATCGACAATAAATGAACGAACGAGTCAATCGACAATCAATGAACGAACGAATCAATCGACAATCAATGAATGAATGAACAACTCAATCGACAATCAATGAATGAACGAACGAATCAATCGACAATCAATGAATGAACGAACGAATCAATCGACAATCAATGAATGAACGAACGAATCAATCGACAATCAATGAATGAACGAACGAATCAATCGACAATCAATGAATGAACGAACGAATCAATCGACAATCAATGAATGAACGAACGAATCAATCGACAATCAATGAATGAACGAATCAATCGACAATCAATGAACGAACGAATCAATCGACAATCAATGAATGAACGAATCAATCGACAATCAATGAACGAACGAATCAATCGACAATCAATGAATGAACGAATCAATCGACAATCAATGAACGAACGAATCAATCGACAATCAATGAATGAACGAACGAATCAATCGACAATCAATGAATGAACGAATCAATCAACAATCAATCAGTACGTACATACATATTATTTGACCGGCAAAGCATAATAGAAATCTTTTCTACAGTAACCCTGATATAGTGTCAGAACTGTTCAAACTCTACTCGCACAGTAATGCTGTATGTATGAAGATCAAAACAATATTCACATAAATTACTTCATTAATTTATTTCAGTAAATTACAGTTACTAAAGTAAATAAATAAAATGTAACTCTATTTGTTTGATGTTTTTGGCTGGTTTAAGCTGGTCTCATTGGTTTAAAGGGGTCATCGGATGCCCATTTTCCACAAGTTGATATGATTCTTTAGGGTCTTAATGAAAAGTCTGTAACATAGTTTGGTTAAAATTTCTCAATGGTAGTGTAAAAACACATTTTTTTACCCTGTCAAAAACAGCTCTTTTCAGATCAAGCCGTTTTTGTAGCATTCCCCTTTAAATGTTAATGAGCTCTGCTGACCCCACCCCTCTCTTCCAGCCACTGTCAGAGAGATTGTTTACTTCAGCCGCATTCATCATGAAACTCCGAGTGGATTTTTATCATTATAGAGTGGTTGTGTACACACGCTGCCAACACACATTTCAGTTCAAACAACTTGTAAACGTTCATGTAGCATCCTATGACCCCTTTAAACTTCTTTCTTGCCTAGCAGCTGTCAGCGGTTCCCAGCTCGTAGCGCTTTGCCTCTTTCTGCTCTCCACATGCATCAGACTGAACAGAAGACGATGTTATTAAGCCTGTTTGTTTTGAGGAGAATTTGACTTTAGAGTAGAATTGTTCAACATTCAGTGAAGTCACATAAAGTTCAGCGGCGATATCAGTGTAGAATGTTTGCAGAGTAGAATCATGTAGCATTTGTGTCACTAAAATCATACTCAATTATTTGTACAGTGTGAAGAGTAATTATATAATTCATTTGATTTTCATATTCAAAGGTTTGTTGTGAATGGACTCAGTAAACATGTATTAGCCTGTCACCCATTATTAGGCTGAATTTTGTTTTGTAATGGATTTTAGCTTGTAGTAATGTGACTTCTTCTCTCTCTGTGTATGTGTGTTTACTTAATCAGAGCGAATGCAACAGCCCGCGGAACTTCATTGAAATGGATGCGTGCAATTTCACCGTGCTTGTGTTTTCAAAAGCGAATGTTTTTTTAAAGAAGGACAGATATCAGTGACTGAAGCCCATTGGCATTTGGTTTGTGTAGGTAGATATTTTCTTGGGTGACGTCGTGTCAGACTACGTCTTTAATAATGTTTATAAATGACAAACACAAGCTGTGAGGCTTTTAAAGGCTTTCACTGTGTGTCTGATGCAGCAGATTTGAGCTTTATTAAAGATGAGATCTCACTGAATAACATTAATTAAATGCAGTGGCTCAGTTGATGGTTTTCTGTTATTAAATGGCTCTCTGGAATACTTGATTCTGATTGGTCAGATTTAACAATTCAATTCAAGTTTATTTGTATAGTGCTTTTCACGATGCAAATCGTTGCAAAGCAGCTTTACAGAAAATTAAAGTTTCTACATTATATTTAGTAATAGCTTATAAGTGGGGACTATCTCAAGTTGATGTCCATATGGCGGAAATGTACGGTAAAAATCAAGCAGTTAGTTAATGGCATGTAAATAGAGTACAGTCAAATATTTTTGAATAATTACCCAAATTTTTGAATAATCAAGCTATGTTGCATGGTCATATTGTGTGTTTTGTGCATGTTTGTAGTTATTAATTTGTTCGTTTGTTTATTAACTGTGCATGAAACAAGACGTATTCATTTATTTCAATAAACAAATTAGAGTTACTTTAAGTAAATAAGTAGATAAATAAATAAAATTAAAGTATTAATTTTTTTATTAATGTATTTAACCATGTATGAAGATCGAAACAATACTAAAAGAAATGGATTAATCTATTAATTTATTTCAATTAATAAATTATGGTTACTTTAACTTAAGTAAATAAAATGATTTATTTATTTGTTTATTTAAGTAACCATGTTTGAACATCAAAATAATAAAAAAAAAAAATTAATTTATTAATTTATTTCACTAAATAAATTACTGTTACTATAAGTAAATATAAATATAAATGAATGAATGAATGAATAGAATTATCATTATTTCTTTATTCAAGTAGCCATGTGTGAATTTCAAAACAATACTAAAATACATAACTATATTAATTAATATCAGGAAATAAAATATGATTACTTTAAGTCATTAAGTAACAATATGACAACAATATGATATTTGTTGACAAAAACAAATGAATAAATCAATTTAATAATTAACTATTAAAATTAACAGTATTTATTTATTAATGTAAGTGTGTATGAACATCAAAAAATACTAAACTAAATAGTGAATAAGTGAATAAGTATCAGTAAATAATAGGGATGCACGATATTATACTCGTCATACTCATGAGTATGTTTTGATTTAAAGGTCAGAAGCTATAGCTTACATGAATAAAAAAAATCACAAACATGACATATATGCTGATTTATTCATTAATGTGTAATATGTTATATTTTTTAAACAAATTATGAGCTCTAAAAGATTTTCAGAATTTTTACAACTCTTTGCTTTAGACACATCTACAAATGTTAAATCTTAAAATAAAATGTCTTAAAAAAAAAAAAATGCAGCGATTGATATATAGTTTATTTATTGTAAGTTTAATAATTGTAAATATACCGATGTATTCATTAATGTGTAATGTTTTTTTTTCTAACCGATTATGAAAAAATGCAATAATTGATTTATAGTTATTTTCAGCTTTCAGTGTGCTCTCATAATAAAAGAACTTCATTATTGTTTATTTAATTCTAACAAATAAGTTCTTGTTAAAAACTAACCAAAATGTAAAAAATTATTTGCTTATAATTTCCACACAGGAGAGGCTTGGTGTTGTTTCCAAACAAAAGGAAATATGTGAGCCTGGAGCACAAAAGCAGTGTTAAGTCGCTGGGGTATATTTGTAGCAATAGCCAACAATACATTGTATGGGTCAAAATTATAGATTTTTCTTTAATGCCAAAAATCATTAGGATATTAAGTAAAGATCATGTTCCATGAAGATATTTTGTAAATGTCCTACCATAAATATATCAAAACTTACTTTTTAATATATTAAAATTAATTAATTAATTAATCGTTCATTCATTGATTGTTGATTGATTCGTTCATTCATTGATTATTGATTGATTCGTTCGTTCATGCATTGTTTGTTGATTGATTCGTTCATTCATTGATTATTGATTGATTCGTTCATTCATTGATTGTTGATTGATTAGTAAAAAAATTGACCCTTATGACTGGTTTTGTGGTCCAGGGGCACAAATATCGGTATCGGCCAAAATGAGTTGAAAAATATCGGATATCGGCAAAAATCCAATATCGTGCATCCCTAGTAAATAAATTGCAGTTGCTTAAGTAAATGAATGACATAAATAAATACATACATACAATATTATTTGACTTGCAAAACATTGAAATCTGAATTGAAATCTTTTCAGTTGTTTAAATCTGTCCATGTTGGTTGTTTCGGGCAGGGTGTTGGGATGGACCCTCATGTGGCTCTGGCGCTGCCGTCTGATGCCAAACTGACCAAAGAGAAGAAGAAGAGCTCGATGGAGGAGGAGGAGGAGCTGTCTATCAGGATAGGTAGAGCAGGAGTTCACTCAGGCAAGCTCTTCTTCACCAACCCACAGTCTGCTCTCCAGAGCTGCCAACAACACAGCTGCACTGATGGCTCTCTCTGGCTCCTTCTGTAACCGACAGGATCTTACTTTTTTCCTTCTGTCTTGAAACCTAGTGTCTTATAAACCATTTTAGGCATTATCGGCACTTGTGATGTATCAAATTATATATACACAATCAGACGTTTGTAATGTTTTTAAAAAAAGTGTCTCTTCTGCTCACTGAGGCTGAATTTATTTGATCAAAAATGCAGTAAAAATTGTGAAATGTTATTAGAATTTAAAATAGTGGTTTTCTATGTGAATATCTGTTAAACTGTAATTTATTTCTGTGATCAAAGCTGAATTTTCAGCATCATTACTCCAGTCTTCAGTGTCACATGATCTTCAGAAATCATTCTAATATGCTGATTATTAGAAACATTTCTGATTATTATCAATGTTGAAAACAGTTGTGCTGCACAATATTTTTGTTGAAACTGTGATGCATTTCATTTTTCAGGATTCACAGATGAATAGAAAGTTCAGAAGAACAACATTTATTTGAAATAGAAATCTTCTGTGACATTATAAATGTCTTCACTGTCACTTTTGATCAATTTAATGCAGCCTTGATGAATAAAAGTATTCATTTCTTACAGGAAAAAAAAAAAAAAAATTGCCCCAAACACTGATAAGTTACAAAATGCATCGCAGTCTCTACGACAGCTGGATGTGAGGAAGATGTAATTTAATCTATAATAAATATCCCTTTAATAAGATCATTTACCCCCAAAATGAAACTCTGCCATCATTTACTCTCATTTGCCTTAATTCCAGGCATTAACTAATTTATTGAGAATTACACAAATATTTTGTACAAAGGTAATTCGCAGAAAAATAAAACAAAACAAAAGCTGTAAAGCTTCTGAAGTCAGGTTTTTTGAAGCTTGAAAACGGTGATTATGTGAACTTTCAATGAATGTAAAAAAATATGATGAGAGAATATTAAAAAATGTCTCATCTGTGTCCCAAAGATGCACAAAAGTCTTATGGGGTTTGGAACGAGAGTAAATAATGACAGACTTTTAATTTCCAGATGAATTATTCCTTGATTTCAGTGAATTAACTAATGATGCTCTTGAAGATGAAGCTCACTAGGTTTTGCGACAGTGTTTCAGACTCACTGACAAAAACACACTTGGTTTTTCTTCTTTTTCCCTCTGCATTACGGCGGTTACACACTCCCTGATGTTTTGATCAGTATCCCTGTCCTTCACTTACTGTGAATCTGCTCATCCTCAGGCTCTTCTGAGACAGGATTGGGGCTCTAAGTCTCTTTACTGTAGTGTGCACTATAAAGGGCTGGTGGTGGGTCTCTTTTAATTGCTTTGCCATGAATAGAGCGCAGAAGGATCGTATGGTTTTCTCAAGCGGTGCTTAATGCAATATTTATAGAAATATTGCAGTGTAACTTTTGCAATTTAACACCATGAAAAGAACACAGGCAGATCAGACATTTGCTGAACTCAAGGGAGATTTTGCTTTAGTGTATGTATGTGTGTATGTGTGTGTGTGTCTATATATACAGTATATATATATATACATCATCATATCAGAATGTATATATACACACAGTGCTTTGTGAAAGTAATATCCCTTCATTTTTTCACATTTTGTTGCTGCCTTATGTTAAACTGCTTTAAATTACTTTTTTTCCCACATCAATCTACACTCCATACACCATACTGACAAAGCAAAAACAGAATTGCCACAACATGAAATAAGTATGTTGCATAAGTATTCATACCCTTAACTAAATATTTAGCTAGTCTTTTTTGTTTGATGCGACAAGCTTTTCTCATCAGCATTTTGCAATTATCTGTCATTCTTCACCTCTCAAGCTCTGTCAGGTTGGATGAGGGCAGATGCACATTTTTTTTTAGGTTTCTCAAGAAATATTTGATTGGGTTCAATCCCAGGCTCTGGCTGGGCCACTCAAGGACATTCACACAGTTGTCTATAAGCCACTCTTGCTGTGTTTAGGTTCTTTGTCCTGTTGGAAGGACATTTAGACCATATGGTGACAATAAACCCACTAAACTACAGAGATAATACTTTTTTGCTTTCACAATTGAATTGTGATTGAGCTGTGCTTCATCTCTGACCCTGGCTGATATTTATAATATCAAGCTTTTCTGAATATGTTTTTTTTTAATATTATCTGCATAGCTCAGCAGAAACTGAAATCACCATTCTTCACTCAACCTGTTAAGATTAATAGTATTTTTATTTTAATACCTGAAATTTTCCCAAAGAAGTATAGTTCAAGTGACTCATGAAAAACGTGGATTTTATTATCTCTCTTTATATAGAAAAAAAAACCATAGCTGGATTTCTCTGGCCTGGAGAAGATTGTTAAATGTGTGCAGCTGTAATTCCTGAGGCAGAATCCACACAGGCTAATTAACCGAGCTAAACGAGTGTGAGAAGATTACATGATGAACAAGTGAAACGGCCGTAGCCTCAGTCAGCTTCTGACTTTATAGACACAGAGAACACCACAAATAAATAATCAAATATTATCTATATATAATATATACTAGATTGTTTGAGTAAATGAGCAAATTGAATAAATGCATGTCAGTTCGGTGTAATTATCACATTTTTGCTTTGGTTAATGGCATTATTACGCTCATAATTTCATGACTGCATTAAACCAATTTCACACAGGATTAAAATGACTCACACTGGGCTTATCATGATTATCAGCGATTATTACGCTCAGTAAAATTCACACAGGATTACTAAATGCAAACCTGTGGGAACTCAGTTATTTATTTAACCGTGTATGAACATCAAAACAATGCTAAAATAAACGACTTAATTTATACATTTTTTTTTCATTTAATAAAATATGATTACTTCGATTATTATGATTACTTAAAATTAACATTATTTATTTGATTTGATTATTTAAATTTAGTTTATTATTTATTTAAATAACTGTATGACTATAACTATATTTGTAGCAATAGCCAACAATACATTGTATGGGTCAAAATTATACATTTCTCTTTTATGCCAAAAATCATTAGGATATTAAGTAAAGATCATGTTCCTTGAAGATATTTTGTAAATGTCCTACCGTAAATATATCAAAACTTAATTTTTGATTAGTAATATGCATTGCTAAGAACGTCATATGGACAACTTTAAGATCCTAACAAACCATACATCAATGGAAAGCTTATTTATTCAGCTTTCAGATGATGCATAAATCTCAATTTCGACAAATTGACCCTTATGACTGGTTTTGTGCTCCAGGGTCACCTTTATACTAGCGTTGATCCAGAATCCAGAATCGGATACTTCTTGTAAAATTAAAATTTCGATTCCGACACTTGCGATCAGAAGCTGAAAAAGCTAATGTATAATATCTGTGCTAGCTAAACATGTTGCAAGAGAGGCGTCACCACCAACATGACAAAGCACTTTAATTGAACAGATCGTTAAAGATCACGAACGCGATTCAAACACCAACGTGATTCTATTCCTAAATGACAGTGATTCATTCCTCATCCTTTGACGTGTGCGATCACAACGTGATCAGATCTTGGTTCGTCAGTGCAGCGTACGATCACATCAGTGTGATGTGAACATTTAATCCTGCGTTCGCGCGGCCGCAGACCTGAAGAGAGCAGCTGCCATGAATATGAATGAAACAGCTTCACAGTCTTTTCAACCACACAGTGTCATTAATTCTGTGCTACTAACATTCAAATAATCACAGACGTACTGGGATTGATGTTTATAGTTCGGATATAAACTCAGATGTGTACGGTAACGATCAAAATAGAGTAAATCACCTTTTGAAAGTAATTTGACAGTTCAAATAAAGATTGATCAATTACATTGTTACGCCAGTAGGTGGCGAAAAGGGCCTGATTCATCCAGTAATATCTTGAGTGAGTCATTGAATCATTCATTCAGAAATTGCATGTGATTTTGTTCAGTTGTCTAATTTTTTTTTTCAGAATCGTGAGAACCACAATCTCCATAAAAAAAATAAAAAAAACTCAATTTATTCAGAATCATGCAGCTCTATTTTGCACACAAACTGCTCTTAAACGAGGCCAGTTTTTATGTAACCTGCATATTTTTCTTCATGGTATTCCACTGCAACTAAATGTTTTGCAAAAAGAGACACAGAATAAATATGTTTTATATCTAAATGTTTGACTTCATTTTGGAATTGAAACTTCCTCATAAAATTCAAACGATACCCAACCCTAGTTTATGCAAAGTATTTATAGAGTCAAACTTTGGTAACAGGGTTGCATGAATTGCAAAGTCCATAGAAAATGAATAGAAAACCGAACTGTATAGTTTGTAGTATGTAGTATATAGTTTGACTTCTTTGTAATTTTTTGCATTTTTTTAAATCTACGTTTATATACTTTTTAATTAATTTTATTTCAGTTTTAGCTATTTTAGTACACCAAGTTAAACTAAATTCACATTAGAAATTTTAACTATCAGGAATAATAATAATAATAATAATAATAAAAAAAATATATATTTTTTTTCTTTCAGTTTTATTTT